CCATCACAGGGACACCCTGGACAGGTCTCAGTCCATCACAGGGACACATAGAGACAAACGAGACAAACAATCTCTCTCTCTCACCTAGGGACAATTCAGAGTCACCAATCAGCCTAACGTGCATGTGTTTGGGTGTCCTACCTGGAGATATCTGTTTAACTGCGTTCTCTTTATCTATTTTTAGGACTTGTGTGAAAATCTGATGATGTTTTGGGTCAGATTTATGCAGAAATATAGAACATTATAATCACAAAGTTTGAAGCACCACTGTATGAACATGTTCACATCATGCACAGTACACGCACGCTCACTTACAGTAGCCCCCCCCCCCCCCCCACACAGTTTTAGTACTCCATTACTGCTACTATTACATTATTGTATTAGGAAATGGTAACTGTGTGAGAAACACATTCCTGCTGCTACATTTGATTTTTATTATTTAAACATAAAATAAATGAAACTGTCCCCGTTTCTTCATTTCATCTAGATAAAATCTGATTAATTTCTGTCTCCGAGCTGGAAATGTCCCCAGATTTAATTTCAGACATCTGGTCGCCTTAATGTAACAACATGTGTGTAACATGTCGTGTCTGTGCAGACAGAACCTGCTGAATTTCAGCTGTTTGTCTTTAAGGATTAATGTCAGTAATCTGTCAGATTACCTGCTGATGTCAGTCCTACTGCTCCTCCTGTCCCTCTGCTCTGATAGACATCCTGTCCACACATTGTCTTCGTGTCGGTCGCTGCTACGATGATGAAGTTGGTCTCTGATTCCAGTGGTCGTTAAAGGGCTGTTCCAACCATTTTGTGTGTGAGCTCATTATTGTTATCAGCTCTAGTTCAGAAACTACAACACTTCATAAAGCACTTACACGCCATGCATAGTGGGTAGTCTTTATGCAGACACACAGGTTGATCTTCATGTTGGGTCAGTCAAAGCTTCTTTGTCATTCACATGTATTTGTGGTGGAACAAGATTGTGTACAGTGTCCCAACATTAAACATCATGAAGCATTACACTTATTAAAACTGATTTCAAACATTTAAAGTATTCACCAAAAATTTCTATGCAATGCTATGAAAACTTTATTTTCAAGGTTAATACTGTAGTATAAACTGGATGTGTTGGTAAGTTATATTGAAAATCAATCAATCAATCAATCAAACTTTATTTATAGAGCCGTTTCCAGCAGCCAAAAGGTGCACAAAGTGCTGCACAATACAGAAGTTAAAAATAAACAATTAAGAATAAAAAAATCAGACAGTTAAAATTAAAAACTATTAAAACATAGTGAGATTGTCAAAGAACTACTAGGTATTAAAAGCCTGCCTGAATAAAAAGTTTTTAAGATTAGATTTAAAATGCTCCATATCAGTGATGGAGCGCAGGTCCTGAGGTTGCTGGTTCCAGAGTCTGGGTGCAACGACAGAAAAGGCCCGGTCACCCCATCGTTTGTAGTTGGACTTTGGGACAGAGAGTAGAAATGTATTAGAAGATCTCAGTGTTCTCCTATATTCACAGACAGCTACAAGATCAGTGAACCACAGTGGGGCAAGACCATTGAGAGCTTTAAAAGTGAATAATAAAATTTTAAATTTAATTCTAAAATCGACTGGAAGCCGGTGGAGAGAAAATAAAACAGGGGTGATGTGCTCACGTCTGGAGGTGTTGGTTAAAAGTCGAGCTGCAGCGTTTTGGACCAATTGCAGGCGTCTAATGGAGGACTGGGAGATTCCTGCATAGGGAACTGTAGTAGTCGAGCCTTGAAGTTATAAAAGCATGGATGGCCTTTTCCAAGTCAGCACAATTTAAAAAAGGCTTAACTTTGGATAAAAGACGTAACTGATAAAAACAGGCCTCGACTACAGAGGATATGTATCAAAGTCCTTGTCAAATGTCACCCCCAAGTTTTTAACTGTGGATCTGAACTTAGACGTCAGAACACCAAAGTTACAGGGAGCATCACCACCAAAGAAGATGCATTCTGTCTTTCCTTCGTTTAAAAACAAAAAATTACGATAAAGCCACTGTTTAATGTCGGCAATACAATCAGGTTACTGTTTTTAGGTTTCATTGGTAAATAAATTTGTACATCATCAGCATAGCAGTGAAAAGAAAAATTATGTCTGATCCAAGGGGCAGCATGTACAATGAGAAGAGGACAGGACCAAGAATGGAACCCTGTGGCACACCACAAGAGAGGAGGTGGAGGAAGACAGATTATCCAACATGACAGAGAACGTTCTGTTGGTCAAATAGGCAGTGAACCACTTGAGAGTTGTACCAGATACTCCAACATAATGTTGAAGACGAGACAACAGGACAGCGTGGTCCACTGTGTCAAACGCAGCTGTGAGGTCCAGCAGCACCAGAACAACGGGACACTTGACATCCACGGACATGGAAATGTCCATGGATGCCAAGTAGAATGACGGGTTCTAAATCCAGACTGAAATGTTTCATAAATAAATAAATGCCATAGTTTTCTAAAACAGGTTGTAACGGCATAAAAACAAGATGTCTGTCTCCTGCAGGTACTGCATCAGAGAAAAAAAGAGGTCATGTATGACTATTTTTATTCCTCCCTGGTTGTTCTTATACATATTTTTCCACATTTGGATTTTCCCGTGTATTATTATAGCTGCACCGAAATATCTCTTACAATTTTTGAAGGCTTTACGATTCACAATGAACCATTACTATGTATCTATCAGACATCATGGCATGTGCATGCAGACATTCTATATTAAGTTTGAGTCTAAATAGTTTCAAATAATTCCATTTCTATTGTCCTCTGGGATCCTCAACATGCTTACTTGTCATAATCATTCGTCCTTTTTTAATCATTATAGGGAAGTTGCGGTGTCACAAGTGGTTCTGCCCTGAATTCAAAGGTAAAGTCACAAGAGTAATTAGTATACTTAGAATTTCTATTATAATTAGATACTATTTAGACACAGGTATTCAATAACATCGCATTGACACAGCTTTTATAATGTAAAAGTTAAATAATCTCTTAATGTGGATTAAATAGCCAATGTGTACTATTTACAGGTAACGGTATTCACATAATAACCAAACAAGTCTCTCATTTTCTGCAGGGAAGCACACTGTTGACAGACTGCCAGGCTGCGGCAGAATGGTGCCGAAAAGGAGACGTGCTGGTCGAGTAGCACGTCCTGCTGTCCTGGACTATGATGACCAAGAAGTAGAGGAAGCTCTCCTGGCCCTCAAGAGCTGGACTGAGGACATGGATGAAAGTTCTCCAGCAGAACAATTCACCTTTGTCTTCCAAAATAAGGATGACTATGAAAAGTTCTGCTGCGAAATTGATGATGACAGGAAAATGAAGGTTTTTGCCAGATTTGTGTAGACTTTAAAAATAAAAACATTGCAACCAAAATAACTGGATGTGTTCACTGCTGGAGCCTATTTTCATCTGAGATACAGGTAAGGAAGGAGACGGACAGAAATGGGCTTAGTTTTATAGAGTGCAATTATTATTACTATTATCCGGTGGCACCATCTGGCATCCTGTGGCACCGTGTCAGCCCCTGTTCTGTGGCACCCACATGGCTTTCAGAGACTTTTCATTTTCTGAGTAAAAAGTTACATTAACCATCAATGCTGTGTAATAATCCAGCTGTTTAATTATTTCCCTTAGAACTAGTGGTAGCTGCCACTGAAACAGTGGCACCTGGTGGCAGCTTTAATTACTTCTGACATCTTCCATCAAGTAAATCATTCTAAATATTGAAGGTCTTACACGGTTAATTAACAAATAACATCCTAATTTCAAAAATAATTATTTACAAATGGGCTATATAACTAGCACGTTTTCCAAAAACCTGCATCAGCAAAACCCCAAAACTGGGGTAGCAGCCCTGGCAGCTCTGCCACACTCTGGCTACAGTGTCTGCTTTAGTGGCTCCTACTATTGTGACAGGTGCCACTCAAGCTGGAAGGTGTCAGTAAATTTCCCAGCAGCTGCCAGTAAACCAGTGGCAGCTTCCATGCTGCTGCTGATTTACTGGCAGGTGCCACAGCAGCGTGGCAGCTGCCAGTAAACTAGTGGCAGGTGCCACAGCAGTGTGGCAGCGGCCAGTAAACTAGTGGCAGGTGCCACAGCAGCGTGGCA